ACTCAAAACACATGAGGGTAAGTGCTAACTTGATTCATTGCCCAGAGCTCTTCAGAAGTGAAGTTCCAGCCTCCAGTCTCAGGGTGAAGGAGACATTCTGCCTGAAGGCAGAGGATGCAGCCTCAGAGGGCCTTGCAAGCCCCTCTGTGAGCTTCCACATTCCATTCCTGGCATCTGTGTTTTGGCACCTGCATGCATCAGTACACACATGTGCACATGCACACACACCCTGCACCTTTCCTTCCTCATTTCATTCCAGTCTCCCAGTTTTTCACAGAGACAACTTTGTGCCTCCATCTCCAACCTTCATCCCCAACCCCTTACCCAGCTCCTTAAAGCAAAACAGAAACTCTCCTCTCTGCTTTGAGTAAAAGAAGCCTGGGGGAGGGAAGTTAAGGGCAGGTGTGAGAGAGTCAATCACCATTCCTAACCTCCCTCTATAGGCAGGTTGAGAGAGGAAATCAGGGAAATGGTTGCTACCTGCCCATGATCCCTTATGCTGATGAACGGAGCCACAGGAAAACCCCAAAGAGATAAGTTGTTATTCCATGCTGAGAGGCAGCAAGAAATTCAGACAGAGTACTCACTTTGGCAGCACATATACTAAAATTGGAATAGCATGGACCCAGTGCAAGGATGACATGCAAATTCGAGAAGTGTGCCATAATTTTTATGAAAAAATTCTCAACATCACTAGCCATCAGAGACATGCAAATTAAAACCACAATGAGATATCACCTCGCAACTACCATAATAATGTCTATCGTTAATAAGTCAATAGACAAGTGCTGGCAATGATGTGGAGAAAGGGGAACCCTTGTGCACTGTTGATGGGAATGCAGAGTGGGGCAGCCACTGTGGAAAACAGTATGGAATTTCCTCAAAAAGTTAAAAATGGAACTTTCTTTTGACCCAGTGATTCCACTGCTAGGGATATATTCTAAGAATCCTGAAACATCAATTCAAAAGACTTATGAACCCCTATGTTTATAGCAGCACTAGTTACAATAGCCAAGATCTGGAAGTAGACTAAGTGCCCATCAGTAGATGAGTGGATTAAAAAAACTGTGGTATATTTACACAATGGGATACTATGCAACAGAAAAAAGGATGGAATTCCTACTTTTTGCAACAGCATGGATGGAACTGGAGACTACCATACTCAGTGAAATAAGCCAGTTGGTAAAAGAGAAATACCATATGATCTCATTTATAAGTGGAATCTAACGAACAAAATTAACTAGTGAGCAAAATAGAGCCAGAGGCATAGAATCAGGGCTAACAGCTGCAAGAGTGGAGAAGGGAGGTGGGGACTGATTGAAAGAAGGTGAAGGGATTACTCAAAGAACATATAAGAAGGACCCACAGACATGGCCAATGATATGGGGATTGACTATGGAAGTGGGGAGTGGGCTGAGAGGGACAAAGGAGGGAAAACTGGGACAACCGTAACAGCATAAACAACTAAAAAAAAAGGCTTTAGAGATGGTGGTGGTTATGGGTGCACAATGATGTGAATGTACTTAATGCCAATGAACCGTACACTTAAAAATGGTTAGAATAGTCAACTTTACCACAACAAAAAATAAAAATCAAGAATAATAAAAAAGAAATTCAGACAGAAAATAAGGATATTATTGGTATAGCTAGACACTAAAGAACAGTGATTTCCAGTCTTGTTACAACACCCCAAATGACTTCAGTCAGTTCAAGGACAGTTATAAAATTCTGAAGTTTTCTTAAAATTTTTAACAGAAAAATACCACACAGAGAACTCACTTTGTTTTTGTGGAGATGGCAAGGAATCTCTCTCACATACAAAATCACAAAGAACCCAGTAAAGATAGAACCGGGTTTTCAAAGTTAAGAATGCCTGTTGTAGATATCACTGCTGAGAGAATCAGGAAACCTAAGGATGGAGAGATGCTCCAATCTCCAGGGAAAGAAAGAACGGAAATATTCCCATTCCCCACAACTCCACAGGAGAAGAAGAAAAACAACCTAAACTTTTCTTTCCCTCTCAACCCCTTTTCTCAAGCCCTCTTATAAGGTGTCTACTCCTCAAGCATGGAAATAAAAAACAGGGAGGGAGGGAAAGGCAAAAAGAAACTTAGAAGGTGATTAATTAAAAGGGAAAACCAGTCACTGAGAAAGGACAATGAACGATAGAAAAAGGCAGAGTCAAGCAAAAAGAAGGGCAGAGAAAACATGGAAAGAGGGCACATCCTCTGTGTCCTGGTCTAGAAGCCGGAGAGATGTGCCTGCACACTGGAAGAGTGGGTAGCCCCAGCCCTACTCTCTCCAGGTAACATTGTAGCAGCTCGATTCCCTCTACCTCCCAGCTCCATGCAGACATGACTGGAATGGTGAGGCAGGAACTAGAGAAAGGGGTATGTGACGGAGAACAAAGGAGCACAAGCAGGCCCAGGTCTCTGGGAGCTGGGCTCCCTGGCTCCTGCCAGGAATCGCTGAAACATAGAGCAACAAAGACTCAGTGTGGGGTGGGGGAGTAAGGGGGACCAGGCAGCACAGGGAGATGGTATCAGAAATAGTGTGAAGAAACGGTCCATCCCCTTCTTACATGGCACAGGCGAGGGCTTTGATTCACCTGCCCTCCTCCCTGGGCTGCAGATCTCACTTGCCCCCACCCCCACCTCTGCTGCAGATGTAGCAGAATTTCATAAGCTGCAGTGGCTGCGGCCAATATCTCAGCTCCCCACCAGCTTCCTCAGAAGATAGCAGCAACAGGAAGGGGGAGAAAAAGGAAAGGGTGCAATAATAACCCCAAACCTCATATCAGCAGCCCCTCAATTTATCAGCAAACTCAATTCTCAGCATCTCTTTCTCTCTCCCTGGCTCAGAACCAAATGATCATATAAGGCTTTACTGAGAAGAGGCATGAAGCTTTTGAGCCAGCATTGCCTCTTCCCATCTGGGAGGGAGCATCATAATATACACAGAAAGAGATGCACCTGTTTTCAGGGGTGGCATGGGGTAGAAAGATCTCATAAAGAGTCCCAGATTGTAGCAAAAAAGATAATCATTTAATGGGGTTGAAATTAAATGTCCAAATTGAGGCTGCTTGTGGAATTTCAAGGGGGAGAAGAGAACATGGGAGGGAGAAACCAGAAATGGGAAGAAAAAATAAAAACACACACTGTATAGCAGACAAAGGAGAGAAACCATTGTTAAAAAATACAGATGCACAAATAAAGACAGAAGCTGAGAGGAGGGAGCCAGCACCTGGAGAGCAAGATGTTACAGATGCAGAGGGGTGGGGGAAGCAGGAAAGCAGACAGGGAGGAGGAAACAAAGGCAAAGGAACCAAGGGACTGAGGACCAGACACTTCCCCCTCCTGTGCCTGCAGTTTGTCCATGACTTTAAGTAGGTGAGTTCACGAGGTTTCTCATTCTCATTGTCGCTCATGTCTTTCCTTCACCTCTGATGGAGTAACAGAGCCCCAGTGTCTGTGTGGCTCGCTCACACACCAGTTGACTCCAGCTTTTGCCTTGTCTGCCCCTCCTCCCTTCATACTCAAGCTTTGCGTAGCGGCTTGGCAGTCCACAGGCTGTAATGGGTTCCCCTCTTCACATGCTTATGTGCAGCAGCCAACACTAGGTTCTCACCCCTCAGCTCACACTTCCTCCCAAAGGCGGAGGTTGCCTGGGGGGCTCCTTGCTCTAACAGGGTGATTCCAAGCTGTGTGCTCAGTGATCCAGCTAAGCACAGGCTCCCACACAGAGATCCTCCATTTTCCCCCAGCTGTCAGTGCTGCATTGATTTCACTGGCTTTTGCAGCCCTTTAGTGGAGACAAAGGGAGAGGCAGAACTGCCTGGCTCTAGGCTTCTCCAGAGCACCGGGTGGCAAGATTCCTAGGAGAAGAGTTATGAGCGATGATGAGCTCATCTGAATGAGTGCCATGCAGGCAGACCCCCTGACATAATGGAGGGAAACAAAAACCAAGACACAGTTGTTTAGGAGTGGGAGTACGGGTGTCAAAACCCTGGAGTCGTCGGATGTGCCCCAGTCAGAGACAAAGTGGCGTTGTGAGAGAACTATAAAGCGATCTACAGGGAAGGGGGCAAGCAGTCCCAGGCTTCAGAGTTGGGAAATAAATAATGTCCAGAAGAGTCTGGCTCTGTAGTGGACCAAAATACTCTCCTGTCCTATGTTTATGGGGTCATGGACCATTAAACCAGCCAATCTACAGATGTCTTCATAAGACTTTATGAGATTAGACTGAAGAGACCCTGTAACTCAGCAATAAGAAGGGAATATGAGAAGAGAGAATTAGGTAAGAGATAATGGAAACAAGAGGGCTCAGCCTTCAGAGGAGTCACATCTGAGTGGGGGATGTCTGGGTTCTGGGATCCCTACCTTCCTCACTTGTCTTCTGTGAGAGTTTCTGCCCATCCCATTAGTCAGAACTACAATACGTCAGGCCTATATTACCCAGTAAATTCTCAATTATTTACATACTCCTTTTCCTGTCCTAATCCAACTTGCCCACTTCCCCCCCCCCCTCCCATGTGGTTCTCAGAAAAGTTTCCTTGGTATTAATGAAGCAAATCAGAAAGTTTTATTTATAAACTCGCACATATTGGAATTTTCAAACCTGATTTAGACTTTGAATATGGTTTTCCACAAAATCTAATAACCAGGAATTGCCTCTTTTAGGGGTTCCTGAAAGGTAGTATTTAATTCTCTGAGCCATTGGTAGCAGAGACAAGGAACCAGGAAGGCATACGCCTCATCTGGTTCAGGGAAGAGTAAGGAACAGGATATACATTCTCATTCCCTCAAGCTTGCGCCACCCTGTGGCTATTTGCATAAAGTCAGAGACCAACAACCCTTAGAAAAAAAGCCGTTCTCCAAAAGACTGCTGGCCGACGTTCCAGGACCCAAATTAAGAGGTGTAAAACCCAAATCTTCAAACCACCACTCAGGATCCATATTTGAAAAGCAACCATTTATTAGAACCAATACAAGAGTATGAAAAGAGGGAAAAGAGGAGGGTGGAAGAGGGGGAGAGAATGAGGTGTGCATTAAATGTCAGTTGTAGAAACACATAAATTGCTTACTTTGGAACATTTACATTTAAAAGGCGAGTATGTGTATTATATGTGTGCATGTGTGTATGTATATACACATATGTATATACATACACATATAATCACATCCTAAAAAATTGAAAAGTCAAAAGCAGATGTCTGGCTGAAATAAAACCAAGACATAACAAAGACTCCCCCACAAACCAGAAAGTCCATAAAGAATTCAATTTCCCATTTTTCCACTCAGAAATCTGGCTACAAAGTGTGATTTGTTTTGCTACTGAGGATGGTACAGGTGCTGAGAGAAACCCAGGCTCTTGAGTCTCTCAGATTCCATCTTGTGGGGAGGCCGTGGGTCGCAGGCAAGTCAACTCCTGGCTAGCTGGCAGGATGCCAGGCAGTGATCTCTCCATCCTCCGGAACTCCACCGAACCGCCTGGGGTCGCCAGTGCTGAGTGAACAGAGTCCACGAAACACGGAGAACGAGAATGTGACTGCAGCAGGGGGCCAGGACCTTGTGCTTTCTCATGGGTTACACATTTAGGGCCAAGGAGAGGGAAAGGAGAAAGAACCCTATTGGGAAGAGGAGCTGGGTGAGCCCCTAAACTGAGATGGAGCATAAGGCTCTTGAGCCTGCACCTGGGCAAACAGAAAGTGTCCAGTTTTCTCAAACTGGAGGAAAAGTCAGGTTCACTGTGGACACTGGGAGTTGACAGAGGCTGAATGCAGTGAATTGGATGGAGCTTTAAAGAGATCAATGTCCAATTCTGAGCATTAAACATATCTCTAGAAGAAAATATTTTCCAATGTGGCTTTTTTGGTGGGCGCTGGAAGTGGTTGTTTATTGAATCAGCTGGTTCCTGTGTGGAGATGGAAGCTGGGGTATAGATACCATAAAGGGCATCAATGCCCCAGCTGTCTGGGGGTCGGTTTGGGGAGTGTTAAGCAACAATATAAATCAAACCCACTCACTGCCTATGCTTTGCTTGAGACAGCCCAAGTGTGTTCCAAGCCCATGGGGCATGGGACCTTAATTCCCAATCTGCAGAGGGAAACAAGAGCATCCCTGACTCATCATTCCCTAATCCAATGCTCTTGGGTCTGAAACAGCCACTCTTTGTGGATGTGAAATGTAGAAAATACTAAGTGCCTTCCCCCAAAACATCCTAACTCTGGACTATTAAGATTCCAACATTCACAAAAACACTGTCAACATCTGAACTAGCAGCTTTGATGAGGGGTGGAGGGCAGAAAACTTTCTCAAGTCACTAAGTAGTTCCAAATTTGGGACAGCTCAGTGAGGACTAAATCTTGTATCAGGCCTAGATTTCAGCTCAAAGTATCCTCCATCAAGGACCCTAAAGTATTCTATCAACTTTGATTTACAATGCCTCACAACACCCCTGTGAGGTAGGTCAGTATTATTACCCCCATTTGACAGATGGGGAACCGAGGCATTGAAAGGAGTGACTTGCCCACGGTCAGCCATCATGAATCCATTGGGAAGGTTGGCACATAGTCAGCATCCACTCAATTCTGTTCCACAACTTTTTAGAATGCACTTCGGAGCAAAAGGAAGCCAGTAAGAACACCTCCCTCTGCAAACTAGATAAACTCAATCAACCCACAAGTATTAACAGACGGTTATTATTTATGTAGCATGAGAAACCTTGCATAAACAAACTTGCTTCTGAAAAAATTGATGTCTTGAAAATAAAATTACATTTTAAACATTAAGGTGAAGAACTAAGTCACAGATTTCCCAAAGTTCTGTACTGAGTAACCCAAATTCCTAAAATCCAAAATGAAGCAAGACCATGCTCAAGTAGGAAGATTGCCAGTAGTGGTCTTGGTAGTGCTCTGAGCTGCAAGGTTGGTAGGGGAAAGGCTAGCAATAACGGTGAGAGCAGCGACATCCTCTACAGACTAACTAGGAGCAAAGGAATCTCAGCACCAACACTCTCTGCAGCTACTGGTCCCACCCCAAAATTCCTAGAAGACAGCATCTTACCAACCTTTCTGGACTCGGCTCAACTTCAGGAGTTGCAGCATCTTCATAAGCAGCTCAAGATGAAGGATATAAATGGTGACTCCCCCCACCCCTTTTCACTTCAGAGAAAGGGGATAAAGTATTCTAACTAGTCATTAAGACCCTTGTAATATTCCTTCCTCCTGAGGCATAACCCTTTAACAAAAGAGGCAAAATGAGAAACACTTTTTCTCCCTCATTTTGATTTACAGTGGATTCTGGTAGAAATCATGACCCTTATCCTAAAACTAGTGAGGAGACTGGGGAGAATGGGGACTAAATCCAGTCTGTCCTGGTTTAGAATCAAATACTAAAGCCGTACCCCTTTGCAGTAGCCAGAGTGGCAGGGCTCCACATATATCAAAAGCTCAAAGAATGATTTATCAACACGCACAGTATATGTTCACCAGGAATACTCTACTTCCTGGAAGGACCAACCATTCCAAGACCTACATATAAACCTTTTTTCACTGATTGCTGATCACACGGAACACAAGTCCAAATGATGATAAAGTTCAAGACTGATTAAAGTGGCAATGACAGTCAGGTTCAGTCTGTGTTTGGAACTCCTCAAAGTGTGACAAACTGGCCACTGGAGCCTGGATCAACTGTAAGGGTCACACCTGCCAATGCCAGGGGACATCACACCCACAAAACATACAGAATGATAAGATAAAAAGTTCATTGCATTCAATTTGACCTAATTTCTTGATAATAGTTTCCTATTAGATTTTCTGATTAATACTGATGGCTCTTACCTAGGCTGTGATAATTAGGTTTTGATCTATTGTGACATTAATGATCACAATCAGTTGACTTTGAAATTGTCTTAATTAATGGCTCTTCTCTTGTAGCCTGCTTCCAGTGCAGTTCTGTCCCCTCCCCCACCACCTTGTTTTAACTCCTTCCTTTACTGATCTCAGAGACAAATAGCATTTGGAGAATCACTTTCTTCCCATAAAACAGTATTTTAAACTAAAAACAATTCTCTGACAGAGGAACAATGTGACAGGTGAAATGAGGATTTTGATGAAAAAGCAAGAGAACATGCTGTCAATGAACAGGAAAAAAAAAAAATCCACCTTAGAAAACAGCCAAAGTCAAGCATGTTAAAGAGGCAATGGCGAGTTGAAGTAACTCTAGAAAGTCAAGATGAGGTAGTTTAAAATTCAAGAAATCCAGAGCAAGCAAAAAGAAACTAGTATTGTTTTTATGAAGCTATCCGAAGAACCTTCATGCTTGAATTTTCCAGAAGTTATTCTAATTCTTGGGAATTTTGACGTCCAACAGTAGTCAACTCTCAATTATCCTGGCAGAGTAAAGTATCTTTTTCTTGTGGTCAAAACTAAAAAATTTCTTTAGGTCAGGATGTTTCTGGGTGAGGCTAGACTACCCCCTAAACTGATGAAATCTAAAACTCCAGGGTATATTCCTGGGAGGGTTCCCACATAATTGAGTCAAGTCTCTGCTTAGAAACCACCATCTTAGTGTTGAATAAATCTACACTGCCCAGAATAGATGCCCAGGTGTTAACAGATGTGCCTCAAGCCTTCTTTTTTTTAGCAAATCTCTTGTCATTTCAAAATATGTCTGTTTTAGGCTTAGAGCCAGCCTAATGTTAATTCCTCCAAAAGGGAAGAGAAAATGAAAAAAGTGTGAGCAACTCTGATAAAATGTCCATGAGGAGTAAATGTTATAGAAGGTACAATAATGTAACACATAACTGGATCTGCAACACAGTTAATACTATTAACAAGCAAGGATTAAATACACCATTAAATACTTTGGCAAAGAGCCTAAAACAGGTACAGAAATCTTGGGGTTTCCATACCCACGCACCTATCCTCTCTCAGTAATAGCAGCATCTCTAACTAACCATCAGTTATTTTTATTTTCTGGAATAAAGCAAGCCCTTGTTGTGGTCAATCTATAGCCAATTAATTTTGTTCATTCAAGGTCACAGGTCTTTTCCACAAATGAACGAAGTGTTACCCTTCTACTTTAGAGCCACAAACTGTATCAACAGATATCTTTGCCCCCAAATCAGAAATGTATATCCATTTTAGGTATTTATTACACTGAATTATTAACAGTTTACCCTACACCAGTATGAAAGTTCTTTGAAGTTGGGGACTGCATCTTTTTGAACTCTGTATCCCCTAGGCCAAAAAATGTTGAATGAATGTTGATATACACTAATGTGTCTGGATATGGATGGCTCAATACAAATCTGCCACTATCATATGGGGGGGTACTCGATTCTTAACATAAGTTTTTGGATGCAAGACTGGTAAAGTCTCTATTTTTGAATACGTAACTTTTACAATTAGTGATAAAGCCCATATAAAACTGGAATACACTGGGTCCAGACCTTTCTTGCTACAGGTATGCTTGCCTGGTGGTCTGATTACAAAGGTACAGACCTCAAACCTCTACTTTTTACTCTAAAAATCTAAACCAAAATCATGGAGTCATGGATGCAAAATGAAATGTTTCCTTTAACCTAATCTGTAACAATTTCTACATTTTGAATCTAATGACATAACCCTTCCTGGGGTTCTCATGTCATTGCCTAGTATTATTTTAGGCCCCTGAATTCAAACCGTAAGGGTAAAGACAATCACTCCTCCACCCAAACACAGATCCCTCTGTACTTTGTGAACTGGCCTTAACATAGATCCAACAAAATCCCAAGATGAAAATCCCAAGCTTGTTCCCCAAGGCCCTACGATCTGGCCTGGATATAAAGTAGATGCACAGCACAATGGCTAGAGAACAGGAATAAAAAGTTAATAACTGCCCAAGCTATGAGAACAGGACCAACCTTTCATGAAGAACAAAAAATAATACACTGATACAACTATAGGGGACAGCCAAGGACCATGAAAACTTGAGTGTTAGTGAAAACCACTGGTCCAAATACTTCCTGGTACAGACAAATACTGACTGCAGGGAAAAAAATGATATATATGGCTCTCTCCAGGTTAAAAATGAGTGTTTCCATCATGGCTGATGTTCCTAAGAGCTATGATACCTTCATATTAATGTGAGGGTATCAGTCCAGTCCCAGGCTCAGAAACGCAGCTGCAAAGACCTTAATAGACTGCCGGACAAAGCTACATTCTGTGAAAGGGGAGATCCTTGAATGCTGATCGCTAAAGAAATTTATTAAAAAGATGGTTTGAAAGGATTCAACACAGGAAAAACATACTGAGCACGTAAGACCCAGATGTTAAAAATGCTTAGCCCACAGCTAATTCTTCTGAGAGGAGAAAACCCCATGAAAACAAGTTTCTGTTTGAGGATGCAATTCTCCAAGGGCCAGGACAGCTTCTCAGCATTAACAAAAGTTGGAGGCATAGGGTGGCATCTGGTTTCCTTTCTGCTGAGGGCTGAAATCATATTGGCCTGTGGCTCCCTACATTCCTATAGAAGCACCTGTGGACATGCAAGGAGAGGGAGAAAACAAAAGTTGTTTAGGCGGCACTCAATACAAGACCTTGATTCAATAAACTGTGGACAGGAAAAGATGAATAAACAGTAAGGTATTAAAGGGGGTGATGAACAGATAATACTGCAGTTATTTTGTTAAAAGAAAATCAGATTTTGATGAATACCTTAAATATTATCTATAACTCCTGGTAACCATGTGTCTCGGGTTTCTCAGAATCACTCCAAGTACAAAATCATCGTTCTGTCCACATGCTAGATTTTGGTTTTAAAAGTATGGTCATTGTAGTTTACATGCCTGCTGCTCCTAAGAGACACATATTAGCTAGATGGATAAGCTGTCATATCCTCTACCTGTAAATTGAGATCCAGATAACCTCCTCAGAGGCTCTAGTCTAACTTTTGTCCAATCCTTGTCTACCCTAATTAATATCTCTGAATACCTGTATGACAAATCTATTTCCTGACCACCCTTTCTTTTAGATGCCCATCAGATTAGTAGTAACAACTGTCAATTACCTAACACTTGATCTAGGACTTTAATTTCTTCAGAGAGTAAAAGAAAATGGAGATATGGGTTATGAGTTCTTACCTAATCACATTACCATTCAGAAGGACTTTCCTGGACAACTTAAACCAAAATCTTCATTGTTCCAGTCTGTCGTGTCACTGCATCAACAGCTGTCTCTTCAACTAGGCAGTATAATTTTTGACATAATTTATACAAGCATAGAGAATTCAATCAGCAGCTGAGCAGGGAAGCAATGTTAACAAATGCTATGAATGGGTATATTATTTGCATATTATTCAGCTCATCTGTGGATTAGAGCAATCTATTCACTCCCCTCATTACTCTGAATAATCTAGAAGTGGTTGAGTGCTCCTGGTCAACTCTGTTTTAAAAATCAAAGCAACAACAAAATGACCTTGATGGCTGGTGAACTGTAGAGTTAAGGCTATTCCAAGCATTTATTATTATTTCCTCAGCTTTGGGCTAGGACAAGGGTGCTCAAAACCCTGCTATTTCCCTACTTTAGTCTTGATTCTCTAGCCCCCCACCCCCAACAGGAAAGAAGAGTAAAGAGAAGTAGGGCATTTCTTAGGAGACAAAGACAGGTTATGATCAGAAAAATAAACTCTCAATATAATGGCAGAACAGGAGGAAGCTAAAAGGGAAGTATTTTGCTGAGCAGGGAGAGAAGGTTATGTCAACATGCTAACGCCAGGGGCTGTTACTCTCTGACATGATAGTCTTCCATGGAAATGCATTTTTAAAAAGAAGATACAGGTAAGAGTTTTAGGGTGGAAAAAGGAAGAACACTAATACTTTGGGGACTCTTGGCAAATCCAGGAGTCAACCAAGAAGACATTTATGACTATAAATGCTATGAATATTTAAAATTGATAATGTGGCCAATGACCCCCCTCCAAGAATTCCCCATTAAAATAATGGCATGGAGGGGAAACTTGGGTCCACTGAGAAGTGAAAAGTCGGGTTTGAAGCCTCTTTGGTTAACAGGAATGCTTTGGGAGGCCACAGAGGTTGGCAGGGTTGGAGGGTGCCTAGCACCTTGGCACAAGCAAGCACCAGGCAGTCACTCGCACCTACATAAATATAGTCCAAATGTGAGGGATGGAAGTAAATAATACATATATACCATATGTGACAATGAAGACAATTGTATCCTATCCCATCATCCTCATGTACTAACAGCTAAAAAACTCCACAGTTATTAATCTTGCCATTTTATGACAGACTACACCACCTTGCAGAAGCAGAAGCAGGTATTGCTAAGAAACAAAGCCAAAAGTCCTGGGGCTTTTTAGAGTGCCTTGACAAATCTGAATGTAAAATTTAAACTCCTCCAAAGGATGGAGCTATTCTGGGAGGCTGGGTGAGGATGAACTACAGAGGGTGGCCCAAAAGACCACAGCAGGAACCCTGTATTCCTGGATAGAGCTGAATGAAGTTGGGAAAGCCCCAACAGGTAGGCAGTTGCTATTGGCTTTTTAGAAAGGTGGGCAACATCTTTTCCATCCCAACATCTCAAACAAAGGCTAGCTAGTTATCAACATGTTTTAAGAACCAAAATTCATCATCATTGTAACAAAATCCCCCCAATCTAAAAAGTGACCAACCCTGAAAAGATCAAGACTCTAAGGTGATTAAAAAGTTAAAAATCATCTTGAGGTCACAGGGGAGCAGAAGAGATCAGAGCAAAGGAAAAAAACTGTGGAAATTACACACAGTATGTAAATGCCTGGTCTTCACAGAGACACTGATCATGAATCAGACCATCAGTTATGTTACAAGAGAACCAATACCAACATTTCTCCTGTGGAGCACAGTGATAAGCACATTTTTTATGAATATGTTTAGGATAGAAGGGGTAGGTATAAGGGAGAGGAGGCAAGGAAGTGAATGTACTATGTACAAAGAGAAATGACAGAGACCAGCCCCTCCTTTAGCTCTTTGCTGTTTCTTTCTCTTTGTTTTCCGCATCCTCAGGATATGCATGCCACGTCAGTCTCTCTTCATAAAATGCTATCACAATCTGTGGACATTTTACATTAGCTTCTTTTGCAAGGACCAGATCTGCTTCATCTGTGTCTTTCCTGGAGAAAAAGAATAGGAAGGAGACTTAAAAGGAGAGGAAGTAAGAGTGAAAGTTTGTCCAAATATAGGTCTCTGTCATTATTTAGATTTAGCTTACTTGATTTCCTCTTCATTCTGATTTCAAGCGAGAAGAACCCTACCAGTCCTTTATTTTTCTTTTTAAAATTTTTTTATTGAGTTATTGGGGTCCAGTTCAATATTTTCGAAGAAAAATTAGGTAAACGAATTACGATAGTTCCCTGCTCATCTGTGATTTTGCTTTTTTAGCAGTTTGTTACCCAAAGGCCAACTGTAGTCTACAAATAGTAAATGGAAAATTCCATAAATAAGTAATTCCTAAGTTTTAAACTGTATTCTGTTCAGAGCAGCACGATGAAATTTCATGCTCTTCCACCCGGATGTAAATCATCCCTTTGCCCAATGTGTCCATGCTCTACATAAAGATATCATGAGAGAAGAGAGAGAGAGATCACATAACTTTGATTACAGTATATTGTTCTATTTTATCATTAGTTATTGTTGTTAATCTCTTACTTTGTGCCTAATTTACAAACTAAAATTTATCACAGGTATGTATGTATAGGAAAAAAACATAATACATATAGAGTTCCGTACTGTCAGCAGTTTTCAGGCATCCACTGGTGGGGTGGCAGGTGGGGGGGGTGAAGGGATTTGAATATATCCACCATGGATAAGGGGGGACAACTGTATTAATGAATATCATTTAACTACTACATCAGACAGAAACAGAAATCTTCACAGCTAGAATTTAGTTGGAAAACATAGCAGGCTTAATCAAAAGGCTGAAAATTAAATTATATAAATTCTGCTCCCATAATTTTAATTTGTACGTGTGAGCATGTGAGTGAACACACAATCAAACCTACATTCACCCCTACTGCTTATGAATAAATTGATCAAGCCAGTTTCTGAATCATCTAAGTGAAAGCATCCTAATCCTCCTCTCATCTTGTGGCCTTTTAAACATTCTTTATCCTTTTGGTCAGAACTGTGGATTGCAACAAGAAGAAAACAGAAATTTAAGTCAGAAACTGTATTCATAAAAGAGAGAGTAGGAAAAAATATATAAACTAGTACTAAAATGAAATGTGGGAATTAGCTGCAAATTTTAATTATCCAAGTTACAAAGGCTCTACTACAATGTATAACAAAAATTCCAGCAAGTTCCTTAACCAGGATTCCAAATCAAGAAAAATAATTTAATAAGAGTTCCACTGAAAAGGAAAAGGAGAATAATGGCCTCATAGGACCCCTGTACAAGCCCTTGCATGACCAATCTCTTAAGCATTAATCCCTAAGGATAACATCTATACCTTAGTTGTGTTTCAGCTCCAGGCCCAGAAAAGCAGCAAAACCAGACAACGGATGCCATGACTGACATCAGGACCAGCTGCATTCACTAATGACCCCCTGCCCTGGTGCCAACCATTCAGTTGAGACCACGGCCCATACCTGGAAATCCTATAATAAATACTATAGTATAATATATACTATATTGAGAGCATCCTCTGGGACCGCCCCTAAAATCCCCACCCTTAAAAGCCCTTAGGATGGAGAACTTAGCCAACTCTCCCTCACACCTTTTCCCCACCACCCCAAAGCACAGTTACCTTAACCTTTCCCTCTCCTAAACTCCAAGGGCCCTATTTTTGCCCCCCTGGGCACATTTCTTCTGCCGCTAACTTCTTTTACCTCTGGAACTTTCCAAATAAACTTTCTCTTACAGCTGGGGGAAAAAAATTCCACTGAGTTGTGAGCAAAGACAACTACCTCCTTGCTAGAGAACTGAGATGTTTAATTCATAGAGATTAAGTATTATGAGTGAGAAGAGAAGGGAGAAAAGCCACAGTTTAGAGAAGATACTCAAATTTGGAATGTGGTGGAAAGAGCTAGTTAATCATAAGTAACTATAAATCATAAGTAACACATATATAATCTTAAGACTATAAATCATAAGTAACACATACAGACATGGGAAAAGCAGTCAACACAGATTCTTCAAAAATAAGCTTCTGGATAATTTACTAGCAAAATTTTGATCAAATAAAATGTTAAACCTTCTGATTATACAACATTTAATGTGATTAGCTTCCTTAGTGGCACCATAGCATGAACCCTCTATTTAGAAACCAAACGTAAATCATTAAGCTTAAAACATGTGAATACCGGAGGCAGTGGGGGCCAGACCATAAATCACCCTGTCTTTTAAAACCAAATTGAGGGGAAGTAACTACACACTTTCCTCTAAGAGCCATTCTCTCTACCGGATGAAATAACTTGTGCTTTGGTCAGTATTATTCTTAATGCTTTTTGTTCAGATTATTTTTCTCTTTTAGACATTATTCAGTGGTTTTGGTCCTCAGTCGATGGGCAGAAAGCCTTACACAACTCCTATTCCATGGCCACCAGCTCACAGTCTGACAGTAAATGATTCAGAACTGTGTAAAAAAAATGGTTAGGTCATGTTTATATGTTTCCTACCTCAAATCTACCTTTTTCTGGTATTTGGGCTAATCTAATTTGGCTTAATACCAAAGCTTGAGAATGTCTTGAATTAATTCCAAGCCATAATTCCTATTTAATACCGACAGCTGGTGTCAGTTAAAGATCTTTGACAATCAAAATTCTTGGTTAGGGAATAGTCTTCCCTCCCTATCTTCCATACAAATTCAAGTCACTAGCTAAAAGAACCCTCCACAATTGTAAACTAAAATCCAATCTCTCTCACCATTTCATTAGGAACATTAAATCGCCACAGGAATCTGTCGCCCCAATGATCTTTTCTGGTTCCAGTCCTCTCTCAAAGCCCCGAGCGATATCATTGCTTTGCTATAAATAGAAGATGAAGAAATGTTAAAAACCTCCCTCTCAGCTTGAAAAAGCACAATCTAATTTAATATTACTTGATACCATTTTATAAAAAGACTTTATTTACTTTTAGTGAGAGGAGAAAGGATGGAAAAAGAGGGGAAAAAACAGCAATATGTGAGAGAAAAATCAATCAGTTGCCACTTGGCACATGCCCCCATCAGGTACCAGGCCCACAACCCAAGCATGTGCCCTGACCAGGAATCGAACCAGTGACCTGTCCCTTTGTGGGAAGATGCCCAATCAACTGACTTACACTGGTCAGGACTCACCTGATAACCACTTTTGTCACAATTCATAAAATTCTTAAAACTTAAGAAACACAATACTGGGTCACCCAGTGACAGTGATGCCAAGCAATATTTTTGCAAGAAGATGCAGTTATCCCTCCGGTATTCCGTCAAGATTAAGAGTGGCCCCTAAAACTCTTTAATATCCATTAAAATATTCTGGAGTCATCATCTGAGAACTCCTCTAATCCAATCTCCTTAATAATATAAATTTATTACCCCTAAATCACTTTTGAAATGATAAACAAGTCCACGTTTACCCAAACTAAACCCTTTTCACACTATAAACTTCAAATATACCACACTTCTCAATCTTCATTTTTCAGTCTTTAAGGTTACCTTAACACTGACCAATATTTTTAATACTTCTTTCATATAATCATTTAAGTTTATGAAAAGAACAGAGGTAACAACGATTTAGGGAAGTACCATAAAACAAATTTCTTTCAGAGTTCACATATTGCAATTACCCATGCATTTGTAGATGAAACCCTGGTCTGTGCCTATCTGCTCTGGATGTGGATGAGTCACTGGCATTTGAGAATAGAATCGGACAGTGATTTAAAACAAACAAACTGATCATGCTCTAGGAGAGTATTCAAATTTGGTCAGAATGCAATCATGCAGTCTAGATAAGGAGCACAGGGTCTGATTCAGGTGTGATGGCACGGGTAAGAAGAAAATGGCAAAATTTTATACAAAGCAGGTAATGTTAAAGATTTCATTTATTTATTTTGAGAGAGAGGGACAGGGAAGGAGAAAGGGAGAGAAACATCATTGTACGAGAGAAACATCTCCATTGGCTGTCTCTCAGACCCCCACTCTCAGGGACCTGGCTGGCAATCCAGGAATGTCCCAAGTGGGAAACGAACCAGCGACCTTTTGGTTTACAGGCTGGGCACTCAGTCCACTGAGCCACACCAGCCAGGGCAAAAGCAGGTAACTTTAAAAACCTTACTATGGAAGATAAAGACTGTGCAAATTAACTAATATGTGATGTCTGATTTTCCTAATAAAAATCTCTTTGATCTGATATTCACCTTGCTGCTTCTGAGATAAACAAACATTCAGGGTCCAGGTGGTCCCCAAAGATACCAGACCCCATACTGGGAAGGAAATTCAGGCATGGATCAGGGGAGAGATACTGACTCAAAAACACAGCCCCTTTTGGGGGGTCTTAAGGGAAGGAGGTTCCCAGATGTGCACACAGCTGCTCACAGCTGGAATGCTGGCACATGAACTGAGTTGTAAATCATAGCTGGCGGCTGAAAACAGGTTTGCCACATAGGGAGGGAAAGGAAGAAAAATGTTCAAGTTGCTGAAAAGGAGACGAGGTGAGGAAAATGCTAAAATCATCACACAAGCAGTAATCTTAAATCAGGCATAATGCCGACTAACAAATTTCATCAGTCATCTAAAAAAAAAAAATGCAACCCCCTCCTGTACTTTTAAAACACACAATCACCTATCTTCTTAGCTGCCTAGCTGACAGCCACCAGTACTGTTGAGAATGCTGTCAGAGGCCCCAGATGAACATTACAATGTAAAGGACATGTGGGGGCTGTTTTTCAAGGTCAGCAGCATCAGAACCTGGCCTAGGAACAAAACTCTCTGCATTGGCCAGTGGCTCCAAGCCAGATTGCTCCTTTTTAAAAGGACAGAAACCTTAGGTTGAGAAAGGACACGCTATATGTCATAAATGGCTAGTTAGAAGTCTTATACTGTGTTGTTTTTTGGTCTCTTTACTTAGCTGGAAAAGTAATCAAATGACAAAAGCCAGCCTACAAAGGACTAATAAAAAAAGATGATGTATTATAGAATTGTACACCTGAAAAATATATAATGTTATTAACCAATGTTACCCCAATAAATTTAGAAAAGAAAAAAAACAAGCCAAATCTTACCTCCTTAGAGAGGCATTCTCAATTTTTTATCAGTAGTTTATCATAATGATATACACATCTCACCAGAATAGGGCAGTTTTTAAAATGAGGTAAAAAATAAAATTAATGAGGGAAACAAGGAGATAGACACAAACCCAGAGTCCTTTTTTACTTGCAGTCTCCAATCTTTCACTCTTATATCAATCCTTTTGGAAAACTGGTCTCCCATTTTCTCTTCTATGGAAACCAGGAATCATTTATGTATAAATCTTTATAAAATACTGATGCATAGGTCCAAACCATAGAAATTTGAATTTAACTAGTCTGGGGTGTATTTTGAGCTCCGGAAGTTTTTAAAGCTCCCCGCCAACCCTCACCCCTGTGGTTCTAATGTGCAGCCAAGGCTGAGAACGAATGCTCTAGAAAGATGAATATCCAAGCAGAATGAAGATAAACAGGGGTGCTTATGACAGTTATACTAGAACATTCAGATGCAGAATTATACTTTTATTGTATTAAACTTTCAAGGGTATGATACATCCTTTACCACAAAAGGCTTTAAAACCTTGAAATAAAGGAAATGAGTGGAAGCTGGAGGGGATTGTATGTGTGTATGTATGTGCACAGATGGAAAAGATATAGACCAAAAAGAGGCAATAAGGCCATGGCCAAGTAGCTCAGTTGTTTAGAGCATCGTCCTGATACACCAAGATTGTGGGTTCAATCCCCGGTCAGGGCACATACAAGAATCAACTAATGAACGGATAAATAGGTAGACCACAAATCAATGTCTGTCTCCATCCCTCTCTCTTTCTCTCAAATCAATAAATAGCCCTGACTGGTGTGGCTCAGTGGGTTGGGCATTGTCCTGCAAACCGAAAGGTCGGTTCGATTTCCGATCAGGGCACATGCCTGGGTTTCCGTCCAGGTCCTTGCTTGGGGGCAGGTGAGAAGGCAACATATCAAAGTTTCTCTCATACACTGATGTTTCTCTCTCTCTCTTTTTCCCTCCCTTACCCTAACTCTAAAAATAAATATATTAAATATTTTAAAAAGTAAAAAAAATAAAATCAATAGAAAACATTTTTAAAAAGAGGAAACAACAGTGCTTATGTTAGTTACTTGAGACCTAATGACCAGAAGGACTAAAGCAACCTAGTTAAACTAAAATTTCACACTTTCCAAACTGAACAATAAGATTTAAAAAGATGAAAATTAATTTCTTATGTGAATGAAGTATGTTAAAAAAATCAAAAGACAATATACAGGTCACTGAGCTATACACTTTAAAATGGTTAATTGTATGTTATGTGAATTTATCCTCAATGAAAAAAAGAAAGAATATAAAGGAATGAAAATAAGGGCTGCACTCACTTCAGCAGCACATATACTGAAATTGGATGACAAATTCGTGAAGCATTCCATGTTTTAAAAAAAAAGGAAAGACAAAGGAAAAAGAAAATAAGGGCTATCTTTGGAACAAGACAAAAAAATACAGAAGTGAAGTGGTAAATATTTTAAGCCCTTTTCTATTCTTATAAAATTCAGCAAAGACCATTTCTCTCTAAGATAGCTTAGCCTTCTAAATGGAGAAGACAGAAAGTGGCTGAATGTTTTACAGGGATTTAATTTTGGCACCTTATTACAACTCAGTGTGTATATATTACATTTTTCATTCAGCCAGGAGGGGGCGCTGTAGTTAATTAACATACCTCCATGGAAGTTCTTTTGTTCAACATTTTACCTTGCAGGCCATCCTTAGAACAGAAATAAACAAGGCTTTTTTTGGAGGGGTGGTGGGTTGGGGGTGACAGGAGATGGGGTGGCAAAGGAATAGTATGTGGGGAAAAGAGGAAAGAAAGCTTACCTCTCTCTTTTTTTTAGATTTGATATCATCAGCACTGTTTGAGAAACTGGATTTCCTCTTGTTACTTTCTGATTTTTCCCTGGGTTTGTTATTTTCACCCTCCTTCATCTTCTTATACTTTTTCATAAACTCAGAAATTAGCTCAGGGCAATCCAAATTTTTCTCAGGTTCCCAAGTATTGTGCTCCCTGGGTAAGAAGAACAGAGAAAAGGGAAAAGAATAAGGTGGGGGAAATCCAATGCCTAGTTTAAAGAGGACAAGTACACGAAATTAGGAAAGAAACCCTACACTTAAGGAGATAAAAAATTTGATCCTCTGAACTTTCAAAAATAAATTTTTTAAATATATATTTACAAAAATATTTGCACACAATTATTTATAGCCAAAAGACAAAACAATTCAAATATCCATGAACTGGTGAACAGATAAACAAAATGTGGTATATCCTTACAATGAATTATATACTATTCAACAACAAAAAAGAAACTACTAATTAATACATGCTACACGGAAAAACCTCAAAAACATTATTTATTCTAAGTAAAAGAAACCAAATAGATGTAAAAGACTATATATTGTCTGATTCCTTTTATATGAAATGTCTAGGAAAGACAAATTTAGAATCAGAAAGATCGGTGATTCCCTGATAAGGGGGCTGGGTCTTGGGATTAACTATGTATGGGCTCAAGGAAACATTTTAAAAAATAAAGAAAAATAAAATCAGTAGAAAACATTTTTAAAAAGAGGAAACAACAGTGCTTATGTTAGTTGCTTGAGACCTAATGACCAGAAGGACTAAAGCAACCTAATTAAACCAAAATTTCACACTTTCCAAACTGAACAATAATATTTAAAAAGATGAAAATTAATTTCTTATATGAATGAAGTATGTTAAAAAAAATCAAGACAATATACAGGTATTGTAATGGGGAGGTTATGGAAATATTCTAAAACTAGACTGTGGAAATGGTTGCACAACTCTATAAATTTACTTTAAAAAAAAAAAAAAAGAAAGAAAAACGCCCTGGTTGGGCAGCTCAGTTGGCTGGAGCACTGTCCCATATACCAATAGGTCATGGGTTCGAGCCCCAATGAGGGCTTGTGCAGGAGGCAACTAATCAATGTTTCTCTCTCACATTGATGTTTCTCTCTCAAATCAATAAACATATCCTTGGGTGATGATTAAAAAAAAAAATCACTGAATTGTACACTTTCAATGAATGATTTATACAGATTGTTAACTATTCTTCAATAAAGCTGTTAAAACCTCAAATATGAATTCTTCTTTAAAAGTGGCAAAATAATGTGACTTCATACATATAATCATCTATGCAAATCCTGAGGACACTAATAAATCATACACTCCCTCCCAGTTAAATGTTACTTATATTTTGAAGAAATGTCAACAAATTACTGGAGGATTGGAAATAGCTATTTAGAAAAAAGCAGTAAAGACTTAAATTATTAGAATATAGACAAACCACATGAAGAAGACTCAGATGTGGGAACTGGAGTGCATTAACTCAATGGTCTGGATTCAAGTCTACTGTCATTAGACAGTCAAAAATACATTGTTATATTAATAAATAAAATAAAAAACAAACCACCCCCAAACTAAATAATGGTCTAATTAAACTTGGATCAAGGGAGTCCTATTATGAGGAAAACAAATAGTTGGTATTCAGAGTTGTTCTCTGTATTCCTGGCATGGGTTTTAAAAAAACCAAACCCCCAACTCCATCATAATCTAATGAAATCAAAGCAAGAAATGTACTCACATGAGAAAAACTAAACCAGGCATCTTCTTCACTCCTAGCCAGTGACAAATGTTCTTTTGGTTATATATATTAAGAGCTAGTTTATATTAACATATACCTACAAATATATCAGAGAAGCAATTTCTACAATACCCTCACTGACTTGGGAACATTTTTATTTTATGTACTATCTATTTTAGATATTGTATTGTTTTTATTTTTTAAAGTAAGGTGCCTTTATACAGGAATGGTTTGAACATAAGACATGACTCAAATGAAAAGCAGAATGATGAAAAAAATTGAGATACTTATTTTAGTCTTAACTTTCTGCAAAAGGAGCTTAAGAATGAGACAAAATTTATTTTTAAATCATTTGAGCTAAAACAAGAAAAGCCCCTTGTTCATAGCCCCTTTGCAGTTATCCTCATACAATAACTTTTCCCCAAATCCACAGGACATATAGTTTATTATCCCAGAAGGAATTAAGGTACCAAAATCAAAGGCAAGCAAACACCAAAATCAAAGGCAAGCAAACACTAGATTTCCACATAATGAAAAGCCAGTTTTATAGTGGGATTATCTCTTTTCCAACCATATTGATATTGCTGTTTCTACAGTGTATCAACCAAACTAGAACCTGACCACTGCCTAGCAAACAATAGATACTTAGATAAGACACAATGCTAAAGGGGCAAAATTTATTACAGTTTTCAATGAAATCCTGAGCATTTCTGACAAAGGGCTAATGCTTAATTTGTCTACCCCAAGCTTTGTCTTCCCCTCTTTTATCTTTCTTTAGACATCTGGAGGGCATATTCTGATTGCTGTGTTACCCACCTTTAGTGCTTTGTGTGCTAGAGATGCTAAGCATCCTACAGTGCACAAACCGTGCCTAAAACAGTACTCCAAATAAGAAACTTCGATTCATGTAATGAAATGACCTTAAGTATGTTCTGAAGGCTCCTCACTCATGCCTTGTCCAGAGGTACTGTCAAAACATTGAATTTTTTAGTATATCTAAGTCCTACACTTTAAAGCTGTGATGTTCAATATGGTAGCTACCATCCACATGTGATTATTAAGCATTTGAAATGTGACTAACCTGAATTGAGATGTGCGATAAAAGGTAAAATACATATCAGATTTTGAAGACTTAGTATGAAAAATAATGTAAAATATCTCAATTTTAAAATTATTGTTGAAATACCATTTTGTATACTGTGTTAAATAAAACATATTATTAAAATTAATTTCATTTCTTTTACTGTGGCCACCCCAAAATTTAAAATCACACTTGTGCCCTGGCTGGTGTGGCTCGGTAGATTGAGTGCCAGCCTGTGAACCAAAAGGTCCCTGGTTTGATGCCCCATCAGGGCACAAGCCTGGGTTGCGAGCCAGGTCCCCACGTGGGGGCATGCAAGAGGCAACTGATGAATGTATCTCTTGCACATTGATGTCTCCCTCCCTCGCTTTCTTCCTCCCTTCCCCTCTCTCTAAAGGTAAATAAATAAAATTTTAAAAAAATTAAATTACACTTGTGGCTGCATTGTATTTCTACCGGACAGCACCATTCTAAGGATCCTAATCCATTTTCTGTCAGTTCATTGGTTCTGAGAAATCCATTCTTTGTTATCAGGCATCCTGAGAAAAGAATTAACCAGCAATTGGCCCTGGCTGGTGTGGCTCAGTGGACTAAGCACGGGCTTGCAAACCAAAAGGTTGCAGGTATGATTCCCAGTCGAGGGCACATGCCTGGGTTATGGGCCAGGTCCCTCATTGGGGGCATGCATGAATCAACAAATTGATGTATCTCTCATATATAAATGTTTCTCTCCCTTTCTTTCTCTCTCCCTTCCTCTCTCTCTAAAAAATAAGATCTTTAAAAGAAATTTTAAAAAATAATAAAATTAAATTAAAAAATAAAAAAATGAACCAGCAATTGAGCCAAAATGCCTGATAACACAGCTTCACATATTTCACCTTTCAAGTTACTTCTATACTTCAATGTGTCTCGTTCTATTTACTCCAAAGAAAAGAATAATCTACTTCATTAATTCAACATAAAGCCAGTTATTAACAGGCATTCTAGTCATTGCTCCAGTTATCATTCTTAGAGCTCACTAACTTAAAAAGAGGATTAAAAAAACAAACAGATTGATGGATAAAGGAATAAAATGGATAGGTTATAGTAAAATGTTAATTGTAGAAACTAGGTGGTTATATATCTGAGTGTTCACACAATTTCTTTTGTCCCAGCTATATATTTAAAATTTTTCAAAAATAAGTATGGCCCTTGTCCAGTGATTCAGTAGGTACAATGTCATCCAAAAAGGCTGCAGTTAAATCCCCAGTCAGAGCAGGTACAGGACGCAACTGATCAATGTTTCTCTTTCTCACTCCCCCCCTTCCTTCCTCTAAAATCAGTAAACATATCCTTGGGTGAGGATTTTAAAAAGTACACACACACACACCGGGTTGGAGGTACAAAGAGACAGGACTGTGGCCTCAGATTTAAGTCTCATTAAGTACTTCATCTTAGGACAATTCTAAAATCCAGGGATTGTTTTGAATAGTTATGGGCTTCATCATCATCTTCATCTTTTCAATGCATGTATTTTAGCTTAGTTATATCTAAAAGAATAGTTCACAATAAGTTTCTACTTGCACTGAGCTTCTGTGTCAGGCTCTGCATATCTACACAACATCTGTGAGGCAAGTATGTTGTATCCATATTTTATTGAGAAGAAAAAAAAAAAGATTAAGGAACTTAACCAAGGTCTCAATTCATGTCGTAAGTAGTGGTATAAGAAGCTGGACCCAGGCAATCTGGTTCCTAAGACTATGTTCCTAACCAATTCATTATATTGCCTCTCAGAAGCATTATCATTAGAATACTAGCTCTAAAAAAGGGGAAGACTTTGTTTAGTTTATTGCTGTGTCTTCTTACTTTTAGGAAAGGAGTGCAAGTGGAAAAAGAAAAAGACAAAACGGCAGTGGTTCCTAGGGAAATAAACCAAAGGTGTCTACTTCTGCAGAGTCCTAAGGCCTAAGAGAAGGCACTTACTCAGAAAAGCCTTTCCACTTCAGTAGATATTCCACTTGCCCCTTAACCACACGCCTATCTAGCACCTTCTCCACGACGTACTCCTCCTCATCCTCTGAAGAAGAACTGTCAGCTGTTCGCTTGGTTTTCTTTCCCATGTTGCACGCTGTTCCACCTGAAGGACTAAGGCCACTGGGTTCCTGCAAATGGGAAGGACAAAATGGTCAGAATCCATGTGAGGAGTTAAAACTTTGTCTTCTCTTCTTTTTTTTTCAAATTTTCTTTTCATGCCTTTAAGAGCCAGCCCTATACTCTGGACTGCCCTCCTAAACTGAGACTGCTGTGTATCCTGCAGACTTCTCTGTTACAACTGAGTATAGGGGGAGCAGAGAAAGCACAGGCCAGGACAAGTTTCTCTTTCTGATGAGATGCAAAGGGTATAACACAACTGCTATGTACCATTCTCTCAGGTCTTGAGGTACTCTACATACAATTCCTAACAATTTAACCAAAAAATGGGTCTATTCCCAGTTTCCCAAGCACAACTTGCTTTTCAACTAATAGGACCAAAATCAGATTACACAACTAACTCCTCTAACTTCAGATTCCAAAAGACAAGTAGTATGATATGTTTCTCCTGGCTACTTCTGTAACTTTACAAGCCAGAGGCTGAGAAATGTGGAAAACCTGCAGTTAAAAGAACCATAATTGAAGTAAAATCTTTCCCTCCCAGGTAAATTAGGTTCTTTATAAAAATGAAAAAAGAAAAGCCACCAAAATGTAACTTTCCCCTGCTCTGAGCATCTTGATTGGTTGGTCTCTCAGCAGCACAAAAAAGGCCTGCTCAGGCATCTTTCACATTTTCAGTGACTCGGTACATTTCCCTTAAACAAATTGAGCTTGTCTCTTCAGAGCATCCATCAGTTCACAAAAACAAAACTGACATCTCAAACACACTGAGCCTCCTTTTTCATTTGGGGATGGGAGGGAGGCAGGGGGGAGAAAAGGTTTTCTTAGTCCTAAAAATCAAAATTAGTCACTGGATTGTTCAGTAATTCTCAAGGCTCAACTAATGCAAATAGTTAAGGAGGTACCTCTCCTCTTAACTCGAGTTGACTTTGAGCCAAAAAATGAGGAGGAGGAAAAAGTCTGGCCCCAGACTCACATCAACATGAAGCCTCAAAACACAGAGGAACCATTCATTGGCCCAAGGAAAGCTGAAGGCAACACAAATGGAAATTGAGTTAAGCTCAGAAATATGCACAACCAGGGGGTACTCAACAGAGAATCTAGGTTTTTTTTTTTTTAATTCCCACGTTGTTACCATAATCATTTTTAAGAATTCTTCTTTAACCATGTTAAATGGTGCCTACAGTCTGGATTATAGAGTAGCAGGAATTGTTTTCTTAGCTGAACTACATTATTTATTTTGCTGTAATCTTTACAGATTCTTTTCAGCACTTTCTAAAAATACTTCCATCTCGAAGAGAAGACCATTCCCAGGATTAGGGAAGGTCACTACTAATCTGAGAATTTTGTTCAGGTCAAGTAGCATAAAAAGTTGCACTTATTAATTTGCTAAAAATTGCAAATTTTAAGGAATTATTCCAAGAATATATAGTTGGAAACTGTATCTTTCAGAACTCGCTAGCAATTGGTCTGCCCACCAAAAAGACTGCCTGTACCCATTACTAACCTGTAATAAAACTAAGTTTTCATTAAAATACTTTATTCAGAAGAGGGGAGTGGGCTGGAGGATGTAAGGGATTTCAAAATATTTTTTCCATGACTGTAGAAGAAAGTCCTAAGCTTTAAGAAAAAAAAAAAAAAATCTGATTTGATTTATTTAAAATAAAAACAGCCTCCGACCTCACCAGAGACAGGAAATGTCATATTCCAGGGAGAGTACCCCACCCCACCCCACTCACCTTGGAATTTCCGGGAGCTGAGCAGTTTAGGTCAGAGCGCTGGGGTTAAAACCAGCCCTGGGTTAGATGCATGCAGTTAAGCATTGTGGCTATGGCCTCCCCTGCCTCACGAGGAAAAACAAGGATTTACATATGTGTTCTTCAGTTTGAGGGAGAAAAGGGGAAAATCTCCCTTTATACCTTCATGCAGAAGAGGCACCCCAAAGGGAGATGAATGGGGGTTCCCTCATTTACCTACCCGATCGCCCCGGTTCTTTCTTTCCCTCTGGGCTAACAGGAGGGGCCTCCCCTCCCAGGTCTGGGACTTGGCGGGCTGGCAGCTCCCCCGCCCCCACCCAGCTGCCTGGGCGCCACTGCGCAGCTGTCCCAGTCCGTTACCATGGCAACTGGCAGCAGTACTAGACTAAGAGAGGGAGAGGCAAACTGAAAAGTTAAAAGCCTTAACTTTCCTTTTCAGTGAAGGATGAGTGAAGAAGTTGGAAGGTACCTACCTTGGCCTCAGGGTTAAGGCATTCAGAGCTCAAGGGAATTGGTTCTTGGGTTTTAAATCCAAAATTTGTGCTTATTCCTCTAAGACCACTGGGAATTAATAGCATTTTAAGATCTAACAGGATTATAGCTCAACTGGAAGGGGGAGGGGAAAGGCAAGGTCCCTCTACAACAGGATCAGGTCAAACCACCCACCCCCTAATCCAGCCCACCAGAAGCACTTTACACAAGGCCTCTTCTACCATCTGTCACAGAACAGTTAATTAAAATTGCTTGGGGGCGGGGAGAGATAACACAAAAAGTGGAAGGAGAGTATTTGGGATGCTATATAACTGTCCTTTAGGAGATTACTAGTTACAGAAACAGAATCCAGAGCCTTCCAACTAAAATTATAGATAGAAAAAACTTTAATCCTTAAGTAGTTTTAAAAAGGGGAAGAAGAGAGCAATTCAGCCACAACCATTACTGATAAACCACTTTTCATTAGTTGTTCTTATAATGTTATATAACAAATTTTAAAATATTATCCATCCAAAACAATGTATCATTAAAAATTACTTATATCAATAATCCCTACTACTTGAGAAAAACAGGACTGAGATAAAGATACTTAGAACTTGCGGTCCCATAAATTTGTATTTCTCGTGACCCTAAAGAACACTTTTGAGAGCTCCAAAACCCTGCTGTGCTTTACGGATACTTGTCTTTAGAGCCAAAGTGGCTGCCATAAGATTAATAAAAAAGGACATCAAAGACAACCTGACTGAGGAAAAAGCAGAGAATGATGATTATTTGGTTATCAAACAGAAGAAATTATAGGGTAATAGGGCAATGTAGACAGTTTTCAACTACAAAAGATTTCCTCAACTTTGAATGGACCCATCATGAAATCTCAAGTAAAAGCTGCCTTTTTTTTTTTTTTTTACTTTTCCTAACTTAATTTTTTTTTTTAATTTGAGAGACATTGCTTTGTTGTTATTTATGCATTCATTGATTGTTTCTTGTTTGTGCCCTGACTGGGGATCAAACTCACAGCCTTGGAATATCAGGACAATGTTCTAACCAACTGGGCTAGCCTGCCAGGGCTTCCTAACTCTTTTTTTAATACCCCAGGACATGCTCATTGATTTTAGACAGAGGGGAAGGGAAAGGGAGAGAGAGGGAAACATCCATGTGAAGAAAAAGAAACACCAATGGGTTGCCTCTTGTTGGCGCCCAAACTGGGGACCAAACTCCCAACCTAGGCATGTGCCCTGACCAGAATCAAACCCGTGACCTTTAGGTTTACAGGACAATGCTCCAACAAACTGAGTCTCACCAGCCAGGACTTCCTAAGTTTTTTAACTTTCTATAGTTAAAAGATGACAAGGAAAATATTCTGAGATGTTCTAAATTAAAATTACAGCAGCCAGAAAGTGAGAGAAAGACAGAACATTAATTTGTTAATAGCTGTGGATCAGCTCTGAAAAGACTGCTCACATTTCCTGTATATCTGTTGGATTTAGGATCAATTTCCAGGTGGCTACTTCTGAGATTATCCAAAAGAGCATAGCCAGGCGCCAAAGAATCCCAGGAGTCTACACATCTTGTATTTACACATGAATTTTCCAATCTGCTGCCCACAGCTAATCCACAGGAGCAGGCACTTTGAGGACTCTACTGCTCCTATCCCAGAACTAGCCCTTTTTCACCTACTCCCACCTCCTTTGCCTATAGCTAATGTATATACTTTCAGAATGGTTACATCTTTCTCCTCCTTACTTGATGTATAAAAATGCTTGCAAAACACTGGACGATGGAGGTGTTTGTCTCTCCTACCTAGCCGTGCTGCTGGTGGTTTAGACTCCATGACCTAAGACCCGCTAAACCCTTTCTTTTAAAAAGACTTTCAGCCCTGGCCAGGTAGCTCAGCTGGTTAGAAGGTCATCCCAATATACCAATCTCTGGTTTGGGGTCCAATCTCTGATCAGGGCACATATAAGAATCAACCAGTGAATGCATAAGTAAGTGGAACATCAAACCAATGTTTCTTCCTCTAAAATCGATATAATAAATAAAATTTAAAAGACTTTCAGCCACGGAAGTTAAAATTTTTTTAACTGGTAAATGAAAACAATGCTGAAGAAATTAGATCAGGGTTCTGATTCTTTGATTAACTTCTCCTGTCTTGCATAAATAAATTTTAATCTAACACTAGAATAACTAAACTGAGCCAAATAAATCCCTACTGCCTACCTCCTAGGGAAAGGGTGAGTTTGTGTTGAACCCAAAGAGCTGTTCAGTCCCTTAAAGAGAAGCTTCTGTAAAAATATTATAGGGCAGAATACAACAGCAGCAGGAAATATGACCTTCCAAATTCCTAAGCCGTTAAACCGTATCACATGTAGTAACTCCTGCAGCTCAACATTTTAGGTAGACAGCAAAAAGGAGGAACGGTGTCTGTGTTAATTAGCAACAGTAAACTAATAAACCTTAAGAGAATAGGCAGGTATACTCTCTCTTAAGGGTAAAATACTTATCCTTATGCCTTAAAACTCAGAAAAGCATAGGAGATAGCAAAAGGAAAAGACTGATTAATAGTAATCCTGTAAAGGAAAAACAAACAGGAAAGAATGAGAGAAACACTAACCTTTCAAGAAAAAAAAAAAAGTTGAGTTCAAGGAGGAAAGGGACAGAAATATTCTGGAGTCCACCCTCTCCCTAAAACACCAGGGAATAAAGAGTCAGATCAATTCCCTCCTTCACACTCTTAAGACCTACCTAAAGGGCACATGGCGGAGGTCCCTTATTCTTTGGGAAATGGATTTTGTAACAGCTGACAAATCAAATTGGGCCTGATGCCAGGAGTCAGAGTCCAACCATAATATTCTGTAAAGAATGGCATGCAATTGTCTTGTAAATCTCCTGGACAGTCACAGATCAGAAGCTGGCAAGGATGACGACATAGTTCTGATGGAATGTGTCTTATCTTAACCTTGAAGTTACAGATCTGC